GATTCATCAGAAGAGATAAGATCAACCTTATCACTCCACGGCATTACTCTCTTCATGAGTGAAGAAAACGCAGTCCTGAAGTGAACAAAATCCACACATATTTTCAATTCCAAGTTAAATCCCACACACCCAGAGTAGAGAATGAAACGGGCGCCGAAACAAACAAAAAAATATTTTGTTTTTCTTGTTCTCACCGATACTAGTTGAAATGGAAGAGTCAGAAAGAGGGAAATGAAAATTACTGGTAAAAAGTAAAAAACCCTAGAAATGAACAAAGGAATCCTGCTTTGTGTAAAAATTTTCCATTGCGTTGAGCTGGGTTTTTAGCTACTTGTTTAAAGTCAACTATTTCTTCAGTTGGATTGGGCTAGTCTGGGCCTAAGCCTTTTACAAGTTCTTCCATTGGGTTGGACTGGATTTGTTTGGGAGAGGTGAAACCTATTACTTAAAAATATCATTTTCGTTTGGATAAGCATTATACTTAAATTATGAGAAAACTAAATAAATAGTTGGCATAAAAATAGTATAATTATAAGTATCAAGCTAGATCACATGTATAGGGGTTTTAAATTATTTACTTAAGATGTCTACTTGACTTGTTTAACTAATATACTACATGTGCTTGTATAATTGAAATTTCAACTAGACTTGTATAATTAAATTACTTAATAGGTAATAATTTAATATTCATATAAGAACAATAATTTTTAACAAATAAAATATAAAAAATAAAAATAAAAGTTAAGTCACAAACCCTAACCAAAAATAGCCAAAAACATAAAGCAACAACTCCTTCAAGACTTCAATCATCATGTCATTTCCCTTGCACTCTATTGCCGCCGCAAAAGGAAGTAGAAGCCATGTTTAGGAAGAGGGTGCTGCGAATAGAGCAAGGAATGTGAAATCAAGTAAGGACCTTGCCAAGCCATTTTCCTGATTTTTATTTTCATATCTTTTTGTATGTTTTGTGATGAGATGCATTTTATGAGCTTAATATATTTTAGCCTTGATTTTGTTGCTATTTGAATGGATAATATATGATTTTGAATAGATTTTACATCATTTTCATTCTTTATATAGAAAAGAACTTGAATACATAATAATAAGAGTTTTGGGATTAATTGAAATATTTTTGAGAGTTTAGGGATTAAATTGTAAGAATTTGATTCATTCATTTAGGTCCTTGAAAGGAACCTTTCTTCCCACAATTGAATGAATCCAAAGTTATGGGATCAAAATGCTCATTGTATAAAAGTCGTGAATTAAATTTGCTATTTCACCATTGAAAAAATTGAAATAGGGTCTGAAATCCAACACCGGTATAGTGTCGAGACCTGCCTTGTGGTGTCAGCACCATGCAAGACACCTTTGACAGATAAGTACGACGTGAAATAAATAGAAGTTCCAACACTTCCATATTAGTGTCGACACTAAAAATCTTTTCAATTTTAAAAATTTTAATTTTTGTTTTTGGTAGTTTTTTTTAATTATTTTTTAAAACTCTATAAATACTCATTCAAAACTAGGTAAGTGGATTTTTTGGGGAGACCAAAAGAAATACAATTAAGACAAATTCAATATAAAACAATTAATATTTAAAATTTTATATTATCAAACTGATTTTACTAGTTTTTAAATTTTGTTTTATGATGTTGTGTGCTTTTATATTCATCATATGATATTTGATTTTCTTTTATATCTAAAGTTATGATATAACCTAACAAATTTAATATAAAATTTCATATTTTATATTTTTATATTTATCATGTGATATTTGATTTTTTTTATATTTAAAGTTGCAATATAACCTAATTAATTAAATATAAAATTTATGATTTCTATATTTTCAAAACTTATTATTTTATGTTTTATATGGAAGGAACTCGATTCCCTTAAATAAGATTTTAAGTTTAAATATTGTGAATAGAGGAACAAGTGTTAGAAGAGCTTCCTTTTAAAGAATTCGATATGACTTGATTTCAAATTAATCGGATTTTAATGTGATTTTTGAATACCAAAAGATTAGTATAAAAAAAACTTATTATTTCGTATAAAATATATATTATTGTTCTTCAATGCTTTTTAATGATTGACAACTATTAAAACTAATATAGAGAGCATGATTGAGACTTATAAAATATTTTAACAATAATTTCTATTAGTATATATTATGAACTGAATAAAAATAAAAAATGAATTAATATGATTCGTGTAATATTGATTATAAGTGAACTTAATTTTTTACATAAAATGAGAAAGTTTATGAAACATAATACATCTTTATATTTTTAAATTTATCTATTTTAATTTATATAAAAATATAATAAGTTAATAGGTAAAAATATGTTTAGTATAACTTTAAAAAGGCATATTAAATAGG